AATAAATCTGATAAACGATGTATTCAGTGTTGCGTAGCTCCATCTGCAGATAACTTATTATACGGCATCATACTGTTTGTACTTTTATTTCTCTGTTCTACATACGCAATGCTTTTAATTTTGGTTTAGATTTTTTAAAATCTACCTGACAGACAACTTAATCTTAACGCCTAATGAAAATACCAACTTTCGATCAAAGTAATCTATGTAAAAAAGCCTAACACAACATTAAATTTAACAAGATATTATAATAAGTGTGATTAGTGTAGTCTTCTCTCTCTCTCTCTTTCTCGTTTCTTAGAGCTTTAATAACTTTTTCAGTGGCTGTATAATCTAATAATAGAACGTATGCTCTTTATTTATCATAAAATAGTGATTCAATTTGTGCCAAACTTATTTTAATATATTCTCAAAATTGAAATAGTTGAACTAAGAGAGAAGCGCTTGACTCGCAATCTGCAGGCCGCAAGTTCGAATCTCCATCCCACCAAACATGCTCACCCTTTCAGCCGTGGGAGCGTTATAATGTTACGGTCATACCACACTATTCGTTGGTAAAAGAGTAGCTCAAGTGTTGGCGGTGAGTAGTGATGACTAGCTGCCTTCCCTCTAGTCTTTCACTGCTAAATTAGGGACGGCTAGCATAGATAGCCCTCGTGTAGCCTTGAGCGAAATTCAAAACAAATCACACCAAACTAAAAGAAAACTCGTATCGCCATCTATTAGCGATTGAAGAACTATTCATAATTTTCAAGATGACGTCGACTATTCTGCTGGGTGCGTTATTGATCATTCATGAATTTTGTTCCTACTTGCACAATCAATAAAACCGCTATCGTATTAATGCATTCAACATTAAACCATTAATCATAGCTTGGCTGAATCTTGGCATGATGCATCATTAACGGTATTCTGCCGCTATCGACTACATTAAACTGCACACGCTAATAAATCACTCACAAACATAAAACTATACATCGGCCGCATAATATGAAAAAAACAATATAAATTATATCCTACATTAGTCTGATAATCACAACCGAGTAAGGTATGTTTATACAATGCCTAAAGCCGTATTTAGAATTAAGTTCTGCACAACGAACTACGTATCTCACCGGCTTTTTAAACAGCATAGGTTATTACCGCATAAAGTAAAATTGTAATATGCGTTATTATTCAACCAAAAATACTTGCGAAGTATAAGTTAACGATTCGTTAAACTTAGTTATTCTGTAATTACATCATTAAAGATGTTTCACGTGAACATATGCTGTCAAAACACACGCGTTTGAATGGTGACAGCCGTTTAGCCAGTGTGCTTAGCCCAATGTAACTCAAACGTTGAATATAAAAGTCATGATAGATTATCTTGCTGAAAACATACAAGAAACATTGTATTAACCTCAGATTCTTGTGTACCAATAAGAGAACTGAACTAAGATGTGCACATAACACTAGTGTTGACCTTCATCATCACTGATTCTGAATACTTCATTTGAAAGCGATGATTCGTCAATCAATTAGTGTCTGTAAAACCATTTCGTTTGCGATAATTAGTGTTAATTTTAAACTCAGTACAATAACTTATTGCGCAATGTCAGTTTGATGTGCTGTAAAACAGAAAACCCCATTTTATTAATATTCTTACCATGCAGTTTTCTCAAAGACAGATGATAATTTTAAATGCCAAAATAATCAAACTATAAGTACCCCTGAATCTTTCACTAAATACCTTTAAAAAAATCTACAAACAGATAGTAAGTAAAGACCCAATCTTTGAAATTTTAAATTACATAATAACCAGAGTTTCGCCTTCAATAGATACAAAAGATGATTTTTAGTCTTAAACCAATAAGTGAACAAACTTTATAATGGTGACAACAGAAGAAGTTCAATTTTCAAAGGTAATTTCTTTGAAAACAAAGGACTGGATAACATATGCACAGATATACATGAAATAACTAGCCAAGAACATTACTTATTGAAATTACGTTAGCTGGGCAGAGGGCACAACATTTATATTGAGTACCTACATTGCATTAATTCATTAATTGGAAAGGGGTCTAAACATGGCATCTTTGTTCATAATCCTAATAACCCATCACAAGTGAGATTTATTCTTTATTGTCCAATGAATGTCTACATTTCATTTATTCTTGTCCTTATATGAGATTTCATCTCTTGTCTTATGTTCAGTTTGTTTCAGATGTTTTTGCAATGCTAAAAAAAGGCTATCTCTGCTAGCTGTACCTAATTTTGAAAAGTAAGATCAGCGAGAAGGCAGACAGTTAACAGCATCCACTGTCAACTCTTGACATACTCTAACTGAGTAGTAGAATTTGACCATCACTTTCATAACATATCCACAGCTCCAAAGTGCACAAGCATGATTTTGCAGTAACAGGACATGAACCATGGACCCTTAGATTCACAGTCCAGCATACCAACAACTAGGCCATGTCTAGTCCTTCCCTTATAAAATGTGTTTACAATATCTATTAATAACCAGACTATGGTACTGTTTGATTCCCTTAAACAAAGATTGAGTGCAACATCTATACTGATTGACATAGCCAAAGAGAGAGGTTTCATATGCTAGAATCACTGATACAATTAGACTGGTTTTAGTTAATTTATGAAAAATTGTTAATACAATCAACATCAAACTGGTTTCTCAAGGTGGGTGAAATTCCTGACACAATAGTTCTACTGTATTTATTATACTTTTTTTCATATAGAAATATCTAATATATTTAACCACTATGAATTTGTTTAGATGCTAAATAACATCCTGTGAAAACTAGCAAGTTTTGATTTATTTGATAGAAAAAGAGCTTTACTAACATAATTGATCAGTTCCTGTTCTTTTTAATGTATCACAACATTGAAGCAACTACAAGATTAGTTCCTGCTCTACTTAATGTATCATGTGATGGATTTATTATTATACATTTATGTTAATATTGATGTTTGTTTAAATTAAATTTCTATTTAGAAATGTACATAAGTTATACTGTTAAATTGGAGCTTATCATTGTGAGAGTATCTATTATTGGGTTGCTGTAATTGGTGTGCTATAAACTTCAGAAGCTATAACTGTGGTTGTTATAATGCTTATTAATTGGAAACTTAAGATATTTGACCAGAACGTTTATAAATTTTGAACATTACAAACCATTTAACTTCAGTAGATTCACATCGGACATTAGTACTTTTACAAAAACATTATCTAACTTCATAAGTGGAAAAAATCAGCGAAGAATACAGAGCTAGCTAGTTCCTATTAAGTGAATTGTATCTACATCAACTCGAAATTAACTCACTCATCGTGAACCCTTGATAAGATATCAAAAAAGTTCCAGACCAGAAAGAAGACTTCATATTGTTTGCAAGTTTGTGAAACTTTTGTTTATAAATCATTGTTTGTAATAACTATTTGTAATATACAAACAATAATACAATTTACAATAACAGTTATTATTTGTATTAAAAAAGAAAACCGTGCATAGCAATCTTGTTGGCAAATATCATAAATTGGAGATATATTGGTAAATATTTAACTACAAAATTTAATTATCATTTAGCTTGGTTTCATTCTATTCGAAATTGTAATATGTAACAATCACCACATTGAAGCAACTATAAGATTAGTTTCTGTTCTACATAACATATCACAATGTTGAAACAAGTGCAACCACTTTGATTTAGTAGAACTGCTGTCATATACTTAGTCATATTGCTTTAAAACCTTTTCACAGAAGAACAGGAAAAGTCTTAACTTACCTGCAGTCTTATTCTATTAAATAATTTAGTATGAAACAGTAGTTATGTTGAATAACAAGATTAAGTGAAAGCTTTCTACAAAATGTAGGTTAGTAAATCACCTTTTATAACTCTGAGCTACAAAATATAATTTCTATCAGATATAACAGAAAAGTTATTGAGAGTTACAAATAACATCAGAAATATAAAGTTATAATAAACAGAGAATAATTTAAGCAGGAAATAGCTAATCCAGATCTCTTTATGCTACAGGAACTGTTAAGTATTTGTTATTATAAGACTATTAATAACCAATTTGATTACTGCTATATAGACAAAAACAAATCTGTATAATAACTATATAACACCTAAAGATAAAAAATTATGAATAAAATAAAAATTTGGAATGATAATAAATCAAATCATTAGCAACTACATTGGATGCCTTAGTTCATCTGTTAATGTGATGAACTTGGAATTGGTACAACTTAATTGCTAGCATGGTGGGTTTGAAAAAAAAATGCAATATGTAATTGGATACAGCATAGGAAAAACATACTGAAGATACTTTAAATAATGTAAAGCCTCCAAAACACACTGAAGATCTGATAACTTTAAATAACGTAAAGCCTCCAAAACACACTGAAGATCTGATAACTTTAAATAACGTAAAGTCTCCAAATTATAAAAAAGTGACAAGCAATTCCAACAATAAAACATATTCTGCAAAAGAAATCCAGATTCTCAGGTCTTGTGAAATTGTTTCTGAGTTTTAATGTTTGACATCTTAAGGTAAATTTACAATTTCTGTATCACTGATGTCAAAGGTCAAATACATTTTTGAATTTTGATAAAACTAGTTCATTAAAAGATGTTTCTAAAAGATGAGTGTTCTAATCTTTTTAATATGTGTTAACATCCTGAAGCCTAAAGGAATGTTTTTTATTTGCCTGATCTTCAATATTAAAACATAAGCTGTTAGAACCTTTTTATTCAATAAAAGTACAAATTGGTTTAGAAGCATTAAGATGTGGTACTATTCCCTGATTTTTAGAAAATTACAAGTCTTAAGGTGCTTATCTAAGAGGATAGTGTGTGTAGCATCCTTGAAATTTGAACAACTAAATCATATTAGTAACTTTCAATTTTTAAATATGTTTGGTTCTCACAATAAAATAATTTCACTTTCCTTTCAAAGCAATATAGTTTTATCAATACAAAGGCATCTAGAAACCCACCTTTGTTTGGCTTTGGAATCCCATATTTCTCATGAGGACGATCAGACAGGGCTCCATCTTCGGCAGAAACTTTAATAGCATAAGCTTGTTTTTCTTCCCTGTCAAATTCTATTTTCGTGAAAATGGTGCCAGTTTCTTTGTCAATTGTGAAGTATCTATCACCACCTTCTTCAATTTTATAATAAACCTAAAAATCACATTATTATTTCAAACAAAAAAGTTGTGTTTCTAAAGATTAAATCTATTCTGTGAACAGTGCAAGTAAAGTACATTGATCTTTATGAAGTTCTACCAAATTACTCATCTATAAATATTATATTAAGCTGAGGTAAATTTTTGTAAAAACCATCTCTCCTTATCAAACTATGCATGTACAAATATATAAAGATTAGTGATAACTAAAAAAATAGTTGCTTTATTATATTTTTCTAAACTCTGTATAACTTCTTTGATTCTTGATTTGATCTACTTCCAACTTCAAAATTTATTCAAGGAAATAACTGGTTAAAAGTGTACATTCTTTGCAACAAAAAGGTTTTTTAATAAACGGTAAAAAGGTGAAAAAAAACATACAAGTATTTTTGTCACACAAAGTACTAAAAAATGAGTCTTTGGCAAGAAAAAGTTAAAAACAAAAACAGTACTGCTAATAAAAATGGTAAAAAGGAATAAGAAACTATGATAAAAATGTAAATATAAAAATATGTTTTTTTTTTCCATAAAAATGTGAAACAGAAACTCTTCCATGAACAACAGGGTGAAAATGCATGTGCAATTAAAGAAATAAACAAAGGAAAAATAATTTTTTTGCTAAATAAATACTGGAAAGAGACACCTGTTTTTCTAAAAAAAAAGGAAAAAAGACAATGTGAAAAGATGTTTTTACAGAGTAGAAATAAAATTCAAAAAAATAATAGTCATAGGTGACTTTTTGACAAGGACCTAACTGCAATAGCCCATCATATTAGGGAAGACAATAATAATATGCAATACAAACCACACGTTAAGTTTTGAACTCCTATGGTAAATTCAGAAAAACATATGTTGAAATTTCTTATACATATAAAATATTACTCCACAAAGTTTGGCTTCAGTATCATAAAATGGCATTTCTTCAAGGTCCTATTTATTTTGGTATGTTTCTAAAGTTTTTAATTTTTAAAATCAAGTACATAATTCGCTTCATAGACTTTAAATAATTATAAAAAACAACCTAAGAATTTATTGAACGTTCACAAACCTGAGTTTTACATTTGTCAATAGAGGGAAGCACGTAAGTTTAGTTTGGTAAGTCAAATAAATGAGCAATTTTCTTCCAATTAATAAATACATAAATACCACATCATAGCATTATACAGAAACAAGATAATTATACTAGACACACAAATATTTTATGAATAGAATTCCTCTTTTATAAATCAAATCACTGATATGCATTTTAATGTCACAAATGAACCGGTTGAAGAAAAAAAAGTGATAAAATCTTAACCACATTAATACCTTATTATTTGGATAAGTTCCATCTTTATCAACAGCTGTCACAGTGGTCACTTTAGTCATCGGGGGCATGCCCTCTAGTACTGTTTCTTGTTCTGTTTCAATAAATAATGGAATTTCATCATTCACATCTTCCAGCACGATGTAAACTGTACATTCAGCTGCTAACACGTTTACACCATTGTTCTGAAAAATACAAAACATGTATGAAAATCTACATGTTAAATAGTATTATACAATGAAAAAATACATTTTAATGAAATAATAATGCTTATATGGACACTTGGAATATTGTGTTCAGTCTTGGGCTCCTTACCTTAGGAAAGACACTGAATCATTGGAAAGGGTTTAGAGAAGGGTTACTAGAATGGTGCCTGGGATGGAAGGGTTGTCACATGAAGAGAGGCTGAAGTCTCTCAAATTGCTTTCTCTTGAAAAAAGAAGAGTTACGGGGATCTGATTGAGGTGTTTAAGATTGTAAAGGAATTGATAGTGTTGATGCATCATCTTTTTTTCATATTTAACAGTGTGAATAGTAGGACTAGGGGACACAAATATAAATTTTGGCAAGGTAGGAGTCATCTTCAGATAAGACAGTTTCATTTTTCTAACAGGATGTTTGGCCTTTGGAATGGGTTGCCTTCAGATGTTATAGAGACAGTAAATTTAAGTGAGTTTAAGAAAAAGCTTGTTAAGTATATAAATTATAAGGGCTGGCTTTAAGATTCTTTTTTAAAAGTATTTTAATTCAGTTTAGAGGATGGAATGGCCGAGATGGACCAACAGGTCCCACGTTGTCCCAAAACATTATGTTTTGTTATATAAATAAATATAACAACTTCACACAGATGTGATAATGTTGTGTTATCAGTGCAGCTAGCAAAAGTATAAAATACACCAACTCAATAATAATAAAAAATGTTTAAATATGTCACATCTGTATGTTGAAGGATGTCAAATACACAAAGGAAAAGTGTTAACACCATACAAGAAATAAAGAAGCAGGAAATTGCTCTTCTTTAATGCATAGTTTGGTAAATTATCAAAAACAGTATTCAGTACTTTTTTTTCTGTGAATATATTACATATAATATGAAGTAAGTTGATAACCCCAATTACGTTTGAAAAGTAGCTAGAGTTTCCCAATATATGTGGATTGTAGGACTTCTTGCATGATGACTTACCTATGTTTCTTGATTCTACAAATTTAAGTAAAATTAATTAAGCTTAAAGCATGTGCCTTATTGTACCTCAATTTTGTATAGTATCCTGTAATATAATATTATACTAACAGTTCAATTTTAAATCCCAGTTTTACAATCCTATCACAAAAGAATGGATGGAGCCATGTTAAAAATAGTTTCTATTTTCCCAGTTAAACTGCTGTTTGTATCAGAATATAAGGTTCTGAGCACTGCTAGAACAAGAAGTGCTTAGACCACACATGCCACTGGTATATAATTTGCATATTATGGCAGTAAAAATACACAATGGCATTATAGAATAGAGCATTCTGTTCAGTGCATTATTTTCTATTTCTTACGTTTTTAATTTAAAACTCTCTTCAGTTGATGTTAGGTGTATTTAACAAGGCAAAATGTTGCATGACACAAACATTTTTGTAAAAGCCTAAGATGACTCAGTTTTTGAAAGTTAAGATACTTCCACTGGAATGCCTAAACTAATTAATAGAGTTGTGAAAATCCTAAGAAAGAAATACTCTATAGGGATGTTCAAAATTTACAGTAGTCTTTGATCGATTGTTTAAGCAGAGTATTGATGATGAGTAAACTAGAATGGATGGCAACTGCCTGTTGTAAAAATATAAGTGTAGAGGACGACATTTTGAAAGTCTTTCATCTTCAGGTCAGTGCGAGTAAGATGTTACAGACGCTATGTTGACGACACCTTTGTTATCTGGCCCACATTCACGAAAACTTACCAGCCTTTCTAGAACATCTTACTTCTATAGACAACAGAATCCACTTCACCACAGAAATAGAGGAACAAAACAACCTACCATTTTTTCATGTACTCATCAGAAGAGAAGAGAGGAGAATCACCACAACTGTATACAGAAAACCCACTCACACTGACATATACCTACACTTCCAGTCCTATTATCCAACCTTTGTAAAAGGTGGTATAACTCAATGCCTAAATAAGAGAGCAGGAAACATTTCAAATGAGATATCCATCAATAAAGAATGCCAAAAATCATAGTGTTTTAAACAGAATGGTTACACCTATACCTTCATCAAAAACTCAGTGAAGAAGACCATAACAGAAAGTAAAGATAAAGAGAACATTAAAACGACCATTTACCTCTCCTATGTGCAAAATCTCAGTGAAAAACTAAAATGTATAACGTTCAACATAGATGTCCAGTGGTAATCTTACAAGACAATAAGATTCATTCTAGTGAAAATCAGGGAGAAACCTACTAAGGAAAAACACAAAAAATGTTATCTATGAAATTCCATGTTCCTGCAACAAAACATACATTGGAGAAATGAGAAGACGACTCTGGACAAGAATAAAAGAACACAAAGACAGCACAAGACTCATGAAAATACAAAATTCAATCATTGCAGAACACACCACATCAACTGGACACAAAATAAACTAGGATAAAACTAGAGTCATTGACACAGATACATTTTGGAAAAGAAGAAAAATGAAAAAATCTTTCTATATTAACACAATAAAGCCTTCACAAAACAGATTTATGACTACAGATGAACAATCTATGGCTACCATTGGTTGAAATCTCAGGCAGTATTTCCACCAATCAGGAGAAGTGATAAACAAACCAATTATAACACATCCTCCACAATCCACATGGATACTATAAAGACTTGCAACACTGACCTGAAGGTGAAAGATGGAAGAATTTCAAAACATCATCCTCTACACTGTGTTTTTACAATAGGCAGTTGATGTCCATTCCAGTTTACTCATCTACAACAGTGATTTAAGGTGAGTACCTAGGCCTTACAGTCCCTTCTTTCCCTTCTGATAATGTTCTTTGCAATAGCCATCATTACAGATCATCACTCTGCAATGCAATATTCATTGCAATAGGAAGCGTCTGTGCAATATAATGAGGTGAATATTGTCCTTCTCCTCTTTCTCTATGCCATCCAAAGTCCATTCAACCATGTGGACGACGACTACTGAGATCTTGTTTCAGCAATCCAAAGAAGTCCATTAGAGATAGTTGTGAATGGTACAGAATGAATTGTACTTGTATCCTGAGGAACTGGCATACTGACTCGAATACTTGACTGGATCCTTTGTCTTGAGAGAGCACTAACATGTTAGCCTTATAGTATAAGGCTATCACATTGGCATTTTTTCATGACCTGTTGGATATTTAATTTGCCATTATAGCTGTAGCCTTCAACCATCATAAATTTCTTAGTTCTTGCCACATGCTTTGCACCATTTTTAAATGTTGTATCACTAGTAGTATGACAATAAATTACACAGACTTTCACACAAATTTAAGCAGATATATACATCATCCAATGTGATGACAAACTTCCATTTGCCATGTGTCAGATACCACTCAACTTTCAACATATAATCTTCAATTCAGCTATCTATTTTGGGAGAAATTGCAAATTTTTGTGTTGCCTTTGTAGATCTCAATTTGTGTGAATTTACCTATTCACTGTTCTACCAAAGGGTCCTTCTTTGGCTGTAATGGACCATAGTGTTCTCGGACTAGGGTTACTAATAATGATAACCTGTTTAATTTTCTTCATTACCTCTAGTATGTGACTCGTAATCAGCCATAAAATAATCAATTTTTTCCTTTTTGGAATCACATCTTCCTTTGCTTTACTGATACAGTTCAACACTACAGATAAACCTTTCTTTGAAGTGCTAAAATTTTGTCCCTGTATGATTTTATAATCACAAATATGAGAAACTTGCATTGGAAAACACTGCAATTAAATCCTCCACTGAACTGCAATAAGAACATTGGTCTACTATTCAAAAGTGCTCAAGTTTTGGGTCTTTTCCTGAAATTCAATGAGCCTTTTGTGTGTGATCCTGTGTACTAACTCTTTTATTAGAACTGCAACAAGAAGGTCAGAGTTTCTCATCAGCTGTGTAATGACAAGGGATACCTATGGACACTTAGTTGATTAGATGTGTATATTATAGGTAACCCTCTATATCAGCTCTCTAGTCATGAGTATAAGTTGATCTTCATCCCTTATTTCCTACCAGCTGTGTAATAACAAGGGATAGCAAGGGATAATTAGTTGATTAGATGTGTTTATAATAGGCAACCCTCTATATCAGCTCTCTAGTCATGAGTATAAGTTGATCTTCATCCCTTACTTCTTACCAGCTGGGTAATAACAAGGGATAGCAAGGGATAATTAGTTGGTTAGATGTGTATATAATAGGCAACCCTCTATATCAGCTCTCTAGTCATGAGTATAAGTTGATCTTCATCCCTTACTTCTTACCAGCTGTGTAATCACAAGGGATAGCCAGGGACACTTAGGTTGATCTTCATCCCTTATTTCTTTAAATGAACTTGCCATATAAATTCACATATGTTGATCACTCAGATTCTTTCACTATTTTATTGAGATAAAAAAGGGATACTATTTAAAGATTAGAAGTCTGGAAGGTTAGTAAACTACCTCAAAGAGTTTAATATTATTCTGTGAAATGACTTACTTTTAGATATTTTTATTATTATTTATCTATGGTGCACAAACTCCATTGAAGTTACTTTCAATAATATCACTCACCTCAACTCTAATGGTCAGATTATACTGCTGAAGTTTCTCATAGTCTAAAGGATAGTTAACTATGATGTCAGCCCACATCTCAGTATAACTCTCAGGCCGAGGAGTCAAATAAAAGGTATCCTTGCTATTTGTTTGCTCAGTGCTTCCTTTCATCAATGTGTAAAAAACTGCTGGGTCACCTGGGATCCCGGACCTGAATATACACTCACTAGTGCTTAATGTGCATTTAATATTTATAGGAAAAGTACATTACGTGAGAACCTCAGAGTAAGACTTAGAAGTATCTACAAAGCTTACAATCACTACAGAATCTCTAAACATGTAATACATATACAAAATATACTATGAATAATCTACCATACGTAATAATAATAAAGTAATATCATACCCAAATATCTAATTACTTATCTATGGAACAACAAGAGTTTGCATAAATAGTTTTTGTAGAAGAAAACAAAAAAGAATTAAAATATAAATATTTTAAGTCCTTATGTAGGATTCATGATATATTTAAAGGCAGTGTCATCACTTATACAATAGTATTATGCAGAATGGCTATACATAAAGTTTTTAAAATTTATAAAATAATTGCATATACTGTTCTTCAGTACAACAAAACAAAAAGGCATTTATAAGTTGGCTCAAACTGTGTTCTCACAAATACAGAGAACAATAATCATGTTACAAAATATTTCAATGCATGCTTTAACACTTTATTTTACATGACTCATACAAGCAATATATAGTAACAGAATATAATATCAGTATATAGTGCCAGTATGTATTTATATATATATATATATAATAGCAGTATATAGTGCCAGTACATAGTACCAGTACTTGGCTGTTTAACAACCAGTTAGGAACTAAACCCATTCTATGACTACATGAGAGAAAATTATAAATACTTCATACTTTCACTCATTCCAAAATTGTTCTAGTGTACTAATAATCTAAACTGACATAACTAGATTCAATGTGTGAACAAAAATTAATAAACCCAAAACCATTTTACAAAGATGTTGGAATATCACTTGAGCTAGTCACTTGGTAAAGAGGCTTCTTCTCGTGGAAGTGTGTACTATCTTAAGTGTTAGGAGAATGTGAAATATTCTAGAACATTTAAAATTTAGATAGTTTTTATAAAAGTTCAAAAGAATTCTAAAACCCACTTATGATAATTCTAACCTTAAACTTATCATTACTCAGCATTATGAGAAAGCCTATAGTATATGAACACAACATGAATTTGTTTTTTAGTTTCAAACATCTCATGGATTGTTTCACTTCAATATTTTTACTAATCTTCCACTTTACTAAACATTGTTAACAGGACCAAAAGGTTCTTTAAATCTGAACTCAAAGAAAATTTCTGTTAAAAATGAGAGCACACCTAGCTTTAATACTTGTAACCACTTCCCCACGTCCAAGGTTCTCTTTAATCATTATAGGTCCATAGATAGGTTGATCCCACACTGGGGGATTGCTGTCTCTGTCCACTACTTCTATTGTTAATTCTACTGTAGTCAGATGTTGTGGATTTCCTTTATCTAAAGCAACAGCTCGCAGATTGTACTGTTGACGCTAAAAGGAAAACAAAAGTTTATATCACAGTTCAATCTTAAAATGTCATTACATGGTACAATGTTACATAAACGTAATAAGTACTTGTATTAGAAGTTGAGGAAATTGTTTCATGAGGTATTAAATTCTTCTACCCCAGTTTTTACAATTGTTTAATGTTACCATTCAAGTACAACAAGAGCATAAACCTTTTAACGAATAACTGGAAAACTGAACATTTTGATCAAATACTTCAACCAGTATTATTCCATATAAGTAGATAGCTTCAAATAATACAGTTTAATAACAGAAAAAAATAATTAACTTATATAAATACTAAGCCAATCTGCATTTATAATTTATTCCAATTATAAATATCCCTTCCCAGTCATTGATCATACAGATGTCATTTTATAATGTATCTAATCCAATTTTTCACAATCTACTTAAATTAAGAATTACTTTTTATGATTACTTTTGATAGAAAATGTTAAACAAGTACATACATCTAGTGATTTCTGAAGGATAACCCATCCAGATTCAGGGTTGACCTTGAAATATGTGATATCTGATGGATCATATGGAGCAGATAGGTTGTACATTACAGCTCCATTATCATCAGCATCTTCATCTGAAGCTGAGACACGCAGAATATTTGTACCAACAGGTGTATCTTGTTTCACATGTTCTTTGTATTCTTGCCGATCAAAAAGTGGAGGATTATCATTGATGTCTGTTATCTCAACTTTAAAGGAACAAGCTCCCTCTAGAGGAGGATTACCTCGGTCAGTAGCTTTTACTGTCACACTCACAAACCGTCCATCTTCCCCTTCTCTGTCAAATACCTGTAAGAAAACAGAGTTAAACCTCATTACAAATTTATAAAAGTACTTGATAAAATACAAAAATTTAATGTGTGTTTCAAATAGTGTAATAAAAAGAAAGTTCAAACATTGAACGTACCATTATCCCCAACATAATTGATGCAATCAAGTAAATTTAGCCATTTAATTTTGTTGTTAGTTCTACAAGACAATTTCCTTGAATGTAAACTGAGCTTTGCAAAACAAAGATATTATGAAAACTTAATGTGGAATAACTGAAATTAAACTCTCATATAAATTGTTTACACTTCCAAGTAGAATTTAAGTTAATGAATAGCAGTTGATAATTTTTCATCCTCAGTGATAGATTCACTGTCTTTTGGCTTGGTTTATTAATTTATTGCACTTCTAATTAACATTCTGATAACAAAGTGATAAATTTGTAGTTGAAGTTCTTACAAACCAGAACCAAACCAATATACTGTTTATTCCAAGAAATATTTTACTGTTTTACCAAGTAACATGTTTGATATACAATCTAACAGTGCATATACTTTCAGTAGACTGGAAACAGACTAAAGATCAATGGAACAAAATATGGAAATGCAACTGTTACTAGCAGCTATTTGATTCTTTATCATAACTGTAAATCTTGTTGACTCAACATTTCTGAAGTTAGAAAAGATACTAGTATGCATGATTAAAGTGCTGCTAATTTAAAGGTAATGTGATTAGGTTTTGAGAGAAGCCTAGAATAAATTTTATCTAGTAAGAAGTAAAAACAAAATCAAATTAGCTAAGACATGTATTTCTACATTTTTGGTTATAATATCCCACATTCACACAATCAGCATTTTTCTCTAGATTCTATCACCAATATAGGGTTTTACAAAATGAAAGACAAGATCTTTAAGTAAAAAGCAATAAAACAAAGAAGCTCTAATTGCCAAATTCAATGAAAGTAATAGTTCTCCAATATTTTTTTGTAAAGTCTCTTTGCATTCAGAATATGCCAAATCAAGTTCTTCAAAAGTGTAAATTAAATTCATCACATAATTGGTAGGAGTGAAGAATTACATAAAATGTATTTCTATAATTCTCATGTGCATTAGACATGTCTAAAATCTATATTCCAGATTATTTCACATACCTTTTACTCTTTTAATGAAACTAGTTTTCTAATATAACACTTATATTAGATTACATAAATAATAAAATTAATCACACTTCAAATTAGCTCAAATTAAATTAAGTAAACAAATTTAATAGTTTATAAATACATTTATAAAGGTTGCCTTTCATGAGTTATTTGTCACAGGTTAAAGTTGAGACCTGTGGAACTGTAAAACTATAGTAAATTGTAGCTTAGAGGTGCAAGGTGAGCCCAAAAAAGTCACAAGTCTCACAGTTATAAAATTATTATGAGATTAGACACAAAAAACCTTCTGTAACAAACTTTTACTGAAATTATCCAACAGAAATTCAATGTTACTAAAGAGAAAATGTGTCCTGCCACTATAAAGAACTATTTACAACATCAAGACTGCTAAAACATACATCATAGAAGACATGATTTTTCAGTAATGCAATAATTTTATTCAAATATTTTTATTTGTTTAGGTTATATTTATTGGAATGAGTGTAGAACTAGACAATTAATCAATTACATACAAGCAAGTGCCAGTTACATCAAGTAGTGTCATAAAATAATTGATTAATCAAAATTACAATTAAATTGATTAATGTCACAAAAATTATCAATTAGTCAAATTTAGTGTTTCCAATTATAACTATTTTCAATTATTTCAACTAGCCAAGTCTCATTTGAGAATAATCAATTAATGAGCCAAACAATTAATTTACTTGAGTGTTGAAACAATTATTTTGAGGGTTCAAAAATTATTACAGTTACACTTGAAAACGTTGTTAAAAGCCAAAATGTAAGAATCCTATAATTTTTCCTATAATGAAAATGTATTTCTGATAGGTAATTCCCTCCATTCACAAGATTAGTTTTTTCCCTTTTTGTGGTGCCATTTATATGCAAACGTTTTTATAACACATGCCACAAGCCTTCCACACTCCTATATTGGAATCAAAGATTCCAACATGTCTCTTATGCAAATCATCACGTGTAATCTCTCCACAATAGGAGAGCACTACTATCACGTGACGCACGTGCCTCCCTGTATGCGCTACTAGCAAACCATCACTTCAAAGTTTGGCAAATAAGGGAAAATTGTGGGGAGGAGGGTGTAAGAAGAGGAAAGTACCTATCAGAAATACATTTTCAGTATAGGAAACTTATAACTTCTGATACAGTACTTCTTTCTGCTCACAAGATTACCTAGAATCCAAAACTGAAAAGGAAGAGGGACTGGTGCGAGGTAAGAAAAGACGTATGCCCCGAAAGCATCTTCCGTAGATGAGAGAAATAGATCAGATGATATGAGGAGGGGCACTGCACCACTTCTGAACCAGGTATCTTCTCGACATGAACAGCTAGGAAGAAACTTGGCAGAAAAGGAAGGGAGCACATCTGAGTAGGAGAGGATGAGTCAGGAAAGTGATCCCAACCAGATAAATATAGAAACTAAGTCCCACAGAAGTAAATTAGGTAATGGAGGATGTGTCCTATGGTGTATAATGGCTAGGGTGTGCCGGACTGTACTCAGTAAGTCAACTACATCCAAAACCTTCTTGCTGGATACCAACATCCATGTGAGGTTAGGATGAGGATCATACCAGCTTCACCTCAAACCCCAAAGTCGTAGATGTGAGGAAAACACCAACTCCAGGGCACAACACAGGATTAGTATTGAGCTTGGGATCTGGGGATGTGTCATCCGGTATCCGAGGGAAGTCCATCACATATAATCAACTCCCTCGCCCATGAGACTGATCCAAAACGTCCAAAGGTCAATAACATCCCTGTTATAAGAGAGAACATCAGAGTGCCCAGGACAGAAACATCTCACATATACCCTCTGTGAATTGAGGGAGGAAGATGGACAACCCCAAATCTGTGTGAGGACTTAAGTTGATTGGTTCACTCGATATCCAAAACCAACCCACGGCTTGTCAACATCTGTGCAATCGAAGGGGTGAAATGCATTTAGACATCTCACTCTGTGGTATGTGTCACTCAATCAAGAGGATTTCACGCCTTCTACATTGGCAGAACACCACCACCCTACTCTGAACTGATTGGTGATAGCCATTAATGTGGAGCCCATTCAGCGGCTTGAAACTGGGAAGTGGTAAGGACTCCCATATTCCACTGGAAGAAGGGGGAATGCATTGGAAAGTCCATAAGAACAGCTACACCCGAGACAGTGAAATGGGTGATCATGATACCCTATTTTGAAAAGCAAATTTATGAAGCAAATATCATGAGGTTATTGACCATACAGTGATCTTGTGAAACATCCTATCTTGAAGGTGAGCATGCAGAACCATGTAAAGAGCATGCGAATCAACATGGTATACAGTGCAGATGTGTTTGTGTGCGTAAAGAACACCTGGTCAGATACCACTCCCCACAGAGCGAGATCCAAGAGAAAGAAAGGATTATAGGAGTATCCAAGTGATCCCAAGCAAGATTCAGTTAGTCATGGTGGACCCACTGAAGTGATCGCATATGGGTCTATTGTTCTTACAAAACATTGCTTTAAAAAATCTTTTCATTAATATATGGGAATGTTAAGTATTTAATATCACAAGAATGTTCACCAATTATGAATGCTAATTTAATCTGTTTGAACTTAAAAGTAACACAAATAAATATTAATGCAGCCACAACATGATAAATTCTGCAAAAATAAAATGAACTGTTAAAATAAATGTAATGAAAAGAGCACCTTGCGGTCAGTAAGTCAGCAAAGAATATTGATCAGAAATTGATAAATGTCATTTAATAAATATTTTGACTACATATTTCTTTTCTCCATACAATGCTGTTACCCTTTCTTTATATTTCCTGATTTAAGTTTGAACTTCAGAATATTTTTAAAGTTGCTTGTCTGTATATTTTAGAGTTTAGCCACCCCAAAAATTTTGAATCCTTTAGGACAGTACATGTGAGATGCAGTGCTCTATATTGTACATGTACTATAGTACATTGCAATAACATGATAAATCTGCAGCACAGACTTTTCCTAACCTTGTTAGTCTTCACAGCCCCAGAAACTTCATCCACCAAAAATTTGGTGCCTTTCTGATTAGGTTGCTGTACAATGCTGTAATGAACTAGTCCATTGTGTCCTTTGTCTCGATCAGTAGCTTTAACCTAGGATGAGGATCATTACCAGATTATAAGGTAGCTCAACTAAACTTTGTTATCAGTACAAGATTAGTCAATACAACAGCTAAAGAAGATACCACTAACCAACTTCACATTGGCATTTGAAGGTCAAGTTCAATCTCATTTGTAAAATTATATGTATTATAAGTCATTGCTTACAAAAATTAATCTTTGATTTGTAAATTTTAATTCATACTTTGACCTTTGACACACTGTCAATTCTTTCTTTTAATGGAAGAAACTGTGAACAAAAAATTAAGTAAAAACACAATAAAATGTCTAAAGAAAGTCCTAAAAAATTAAGTTTGAGACCTTCTATTTTTTACTCGTATGTTTAAAAATAAAGTGCAATTTTCCTGTGTTTAACTGAAAGCATGTGAAACTAAATGTTGTTCTAAGTTTAATATTACTACAATTCGTACACCAAAAAACACATTATAACAGGATTATGCTACACAAGTCTTGTTTTAAGAAATTATTAGCTTGAATATAATACTGTTAACACATCAGACTTTCAATTCACTATACATGTGATGAAACTACTGAACTATAAATTTTTACCTTCTTAAAAGAAGGTAAAACTATAAAACTGAACTATAAATTTTTACCCTTAAACTATAAATTGTTATAAATTCAAGTAATTTTTATATAAGATGATACTTAAATGCTACTTTTTCACACGTTATTTTTTTATTGAACTATATACTGCATTGCAAGCTGAGTTTACATAAAATAATGATTACAAAGCTACAAGCATGTTATGAAAGTTATGAATTAACTGTTGGCTATGAAACTTTTTACGTCATTTATGAAAAAAAAACACAATAAAGATAATTAGCTCCGATTTAAAAAAAAGTTACAGATAAGGAAACATTCAACTGATAATTAATGGAGTGCTCTGTTATAACTAGAAAGTGAAGTGAAATAACAGTTTATGATCAATACAGAAGGTACACACTCTAATGACAGTGGTTCCACTTGGGGCTCCCTCCTCCACTGTGGGTGAGTAGGTGTTACATTCCTCAAACTCAGGTTTATTGTCATTAACATCAGTAATAAATACAACAACCAATGCTGTGCTTGTGTGGGGTGTCAGGCTACCATCTTTACAACATGATCCATCATCTTGAGCAGTAACATTCAACTCATACTTGTCTTTGTCTAACTGGATGAGCCCATTAATCAAACGGATTACCCCTACAAAGAAATAAATATATATAAATGAACAAAACAAATCTCACAGAACAAAATCCTAGGTTAAAAGACAATATGAGAGGTTATATGCCAGATAGATTAATGATCCAATGTCTTGTTGGGCTGTCAATAAAAATTTTTTTAAAGGCACTGTATAGCTAAAGTGCATTAAACTCTTCTTATTCAAACTTCACATGTTGAAGCAAAACTAATAGTGTGATTAAAATTTGTCAGCCTTCTTTTAAATTGTTATATTATTTGATAACAACTACTAAATACACAAACACACACACACAAGAGAAAGTCATAATTACGAAGACAATATACAAATTCAGAAAAATATCTACAAATTACTAAATTTAAACCGATTACAAGAAGAAAAAACAACAAAATTCAAGTAACATAACATAAGAAAATTATTATTATTATCTTAAATAGTTTTCTTGATCTTGTTTTCACTTATGTATCACATATTCTCTTTTTGGAGCATCTGCAATTTTCTCTGTTAGTAAAAAGTATAACAATTGACATTCAGTTTTTATATTTATTTGAATCAAGAAACTGGTGCCACTGGAAATCCTCTAATAAATGGAACACCTGATGTAAAATTGAACTAATATTTACATACAAATAAAATTTAAGGACAACAAGGGATCTGTTGGTCCACCTAGATCATCACACCTGCTAAATCTTAAAATATAAAATAAGATACACTCAAAGCCAGCCCTTATCATTCAAATATTTATTAAGTTTTCCTTAAACTCCCTTAAATTAATTGCATCCACCACATCTCAAGGTAACCCATTTGAAAGGCCAATCACCTTGTTAGAAAACTAAAGCTGTCTTAATTTCCTTAGATACCTCCATCAGATCCCTCTCACTCTTCTTTCTTTCAAGAGAAAACAATTTCAGAGATCTTAACCTAAAATTTTTATCTCAATGTACAGTTTCTCGTTAATTTCATCAGTTTCATCAGGTTGTCTGTAATAAATTCCAACTATAAGCCTTCTCCTCTTATAACCTCTAAGAGAAACATAAATAGATTAAATGTCACTGCTATTAGCTCTGATATCCTAAACTTTAACAGGGTGTAACTCACATTTTACATAAACAGCTACTCCGCTCCCTCTCTGATTATACAAGTCTATAAAACATTCTTACATTTTTAATGGGTTGCTTTAAGATGTGGTGGAAAGATAATGAATTATTAAAAAGAGTTCAGAGGATTGTTTGTTTGTTTGTTTGTTATGGATTTTGCTCAAAGCTACACGAGGGCTATCTGCACTAGCCCTCCATAATTTAGCAGTGTAGGACTAGAGTGAAGGCAGTTAGTCATCACTACCCACCGCCAATTCTTGGGCTACTCTTTTACCAACAAATAGTGGGATTGACTGTCACATTATAATGCCCCCATGGCTGAAAGGGCGAGCGTGTTTGGTGTGACAGGGAATCGAACCCGCAACCCACAGATTGCGAGTCAAGCACCCTAACCACCTGGCCATGCCGGGTCTAGTTCAGAGGAGGGCTACCAGGAAGATATCTGGGATGGAAAGTTTGTTATACAGAGACAGGTTAAAATCTCTGAAATTGTTTTCTCTTGAAAAAACGAAGAGCTAGAGAGGATCTGATTGAAGTTTTTAAGGTTCTTAAGGCAATTAATAGTGTTGATGCATCGTTTTTTTGTACTTAATGGTGAGAATGGTATAAATAGTGGACATATATATAAATGTTGGCAGGGTAGGCATCATTTTCAGATTAGATAGTTCTATTTTTCTTACAGGGTGGTTGGCCTTTGTAATGAGTTGCCTTACGATGGTAGATGTATTCAATTTAAATGAGTTTAAGGGAATGGTTGATAAATATTTGAATGATAAGGTGCGGCTTTGAGTTTTTTTATTTGTTTTTAAATTTAGTTTAGTGGAAAGGATTGCCTAAACAGAGCAACAGGTCCATTGTTGTTCTCAAAGTTATAATTTTCCTATACTGAAAATGTATTTCCGATAGGTACTTACCTCTACTCACAGAAATAGCTATTTTCGTTCAGTGCTGCTCTCTATATCCAAAAAACAATTGTGCATGCCATAAGCTTTGAATCTCCCACTCATTTGGAATTGACTGATTCCAGTGGATCTCACATGCAAATCATCATGCAACAAACCTCCACCAATAAGAGTGTGACATACTCTCTCGATGCAGAAAATGGAAGCATCGGTTTTCAGTGGGGAGGAAGGGTGAGATGAGGTAAGTACCTATCGCAAATATATTTTCAGTATAGGAAAATTATAACTTCAGATACAGTACATTACCTCTACTCACAGAAATAGATAGAATCCCACATTGAATAGGTGGAGGGACCGGTGCAGAGGTAATGTTCTGTATCGGAATTTAATGTCACGACAATATTTTTAATACAGAAATAACATCTAATTGAATATATGAAGTGACACATTTTTGCTATTTACACACACAATGATATTTCAGTAATAGCTTTATATTAAGTAGAAATCAGTTCAACTTCTATAAAGGCAAAACTGACATAACAAACAATAATAATATTTTATTTATATCAAAAACTGTATGATCTGACAAATTGTATTCTCTTGCTCAGTTACATAAATATCTTGTCTTTACATTTATCACTGACATAAAAAATATGTAGTAAAATATGGTAAAAAGACAAAAAGATCATTTGGTCCTGTACATAACACAAAATTGAGTTGGAAAAACACAGTGAACCAAATTACCAGTTCGTTCTTCAATCTGAAACATGCCCGAGACAGTTCCCCCACCCACAAATCCAAAATGGATGTTGTCTCCATCCTTATCACTAGCCACTACAGTGGTTATTAATGTGTTAGGCCCTGCATTTTCATCTACATTGGGAGTGTACACATCCTGACTAAACTTGGGGAACTCATCATTCTTATTTTCTGTATAGATACGGACAGTGGCAGTGCCAGTGAGTTGAGGGTCCCCATGGTCAGTGGCTTCTACTGTAAACTCATATGTGTTGTTAACATCAGCATCCAGTCGTTTATTTGAATAGATGGTTCCTCGATTATCAATTGTGAAGTCTTTGCTTTGGATTGTATATGTTATTTGAGCATTTTCATAAGAATCCAAATCTGATGCAGAAACTACAAGATAGTAAAAAAAATAAAAGCAGTTCATCTTAAGTCATTGTGAAAAATATGGTTAAAGTGTTTTTAGTCAAGAAAAATTGGTAAAATAAGAGAAACCAAAAACAGTAAAAACTATAAATTAACTTGTTTAATATATCTTTAATTGTATACAATATTTGTAATCAAGTTTAAGAAAAATCCTTCTAGCTTTAGTTAAAAAATTTGCAAATCTATCAGTCTTAAATTATTAGATGTGCATATTAGAGAATTGCAAATTGAAGCGATTATGATTAAAACTAATATATCTTAATAGTGTAGTGTAAAAATTTTCTTAACTTCTGAAAAGAAATGCAAGTATTCTTTTCAATCATGAAGAGATTCATATAAAACACAGTAAGTAATAAACTGAGCTTACTGATTCTAAAGCTATGTTTGATGAGATGTTACATTCATGTCTCCGTGAATTTTTTTCACTTTCCAAAATAATTCAAAACAGATCAATAACTTCCTTTATATCTCTATTGAATGGAACCATTATACATCATCAAAGAAAACATTATATATTTATTTTTCATAGGCAGACTAAATAAGTCTAATATCAATATCTAGAAACACTTCTAATAGTGTTAAATACAATAAAATAAATTTATTCTTTTCTTTTTTCTATTTGAAATGGTTAAATCTTACTACAAAACAAATTTCCTTTGTTGGATGAAGGAAAATAAATGCATCAAATAGTAAAAAAAACAAAAAAAATTACAAAGCTCATATATAAATCTATCTAAATATTTCATTTTAGAATCTGAAAATACTTTATGTAGGGGCAAAAATCAAAAATATACCCTGTAAAATTGAAGTTCCAGGTGGAATATCTTCATCTACATTATGAGCCTGGTAATCGGGAAGCTCAAAACGTGGAGAATTGTCATTTACATCATTCACTGTAATTGTTAACTGAAAGTAAAAAAAAAGTTTATGAATCAGACATTTAAAACATTGTAACAATATTTATCTTAGGCTAAAGTCATGGCATGATTCCATATGTTTATACATTATAACATTTAATTTCCAAATTCATAGCATTTATAAATTACAAAAAAATCTGTAGTTACCACTTGGCTTATTGCTACATCTACTTTGATTAATATTCTTTACCTTCATGACAAAGATCTTTACACAACAATTTTCCATTTTGCTGTATAATATGTATACCATAAAATGATAATATTTTATTGATTTCTTATGTTATCAAAGCATACATGCAAGTATTGGATGTATTTGTTAAAAAATTTAATTCTGCTGTAAACACAATTGAAAACTGGGAATTTTTTTTGTTCTGTTCATCAAAATTTCCATTTCTCATGTATAGAATATTTTAACATTTAAAGTAGCTTGTAACATTCATGGAAGGGTATATGTGTACTATTTGTCTTGATTGAAAAATCAATAAAAGCCTGAGTCAATATGTAGACAACAAAGATTTATGGTGATTTGATCTCTAAGTAAGATCGTCTTTTTTGTAAAACTCAAGTTAGAAGCTTCAAGAGTATTCTCCAACACAGATGATATCTGTTTCACTACCATAATGTAGCATCTGTATTCCATTGTCCTGTTTCACTCCTTTCTTCTTCTATGTAAAGTACACTACTAATTTACACTAGCACCAAACAATATGTTAACAGGCAAACAATAAATCTTTTTAAAAGATTACTTTGAACATGATTTACGTCTTGACTGATGTACTCCTTACAAAGATATGGAAGGCTTAAGTATAGATGAGCCATGAAAAAAAAGACACATCACTTTATTATGCAGATTTTACTCACTACTATATCCTCGCTGATAAACACTAGTTCTTGTAGTTTATTCATATAAAAACGTTTCTTAGAACTACCATATATCTTAGATTTTTTTTTAAATTCTAGGAATAATTAGGATGTTCTTTACTTCTAAATTATCCAACAATTTTTTTCCAAGACTATGCTAAACCTAAGATTTAAAGTAATGACATTAACTAAACAAGTGATCCAATAGTTTAAATTTATTGGCATTTCTCTGTCTCCTGTACCTAATGATTACTTGTGTTTTGTTCAAACCAGTAAAACCCAAGGCCTGTTCAAGCCTTTTCTCACAATACCAAATTTATGCTTACTGTACCTTGAAAATAAAAACTGATTATTTAATAATTGTATGCAGTTTCTGAAAACAAAACAAATTTAACTTGATGTATTTTCAAAATATCTGAACAAGATTGGCCAGAAGATGGATGATTCTTATGTTTAGTGCTTAATTTCTAGAAAAAAAGATACAAGATCCCTGTTGAGGGAACTTAGGTCGTCGACAATAATGGTTTAAATGTTACTGAGACTACTACCTGGGAAGGGGCTGGAGGGAAGTAATGAATGTATATACATATATATATATATATATAACTACATCAGTCAAATATAGATTCCCAGTGCAAATGTGCATTATTTACAGTGGTGTAGGAAAGAGTTGCAAAGTGGGGGTGCTTGGCTAGATATGCTGATAATATAATGTTATAATTTACAGTTGCTATACAAGTCAGATATGTAAAAGTGGGGTGCTACAGCACCCCCAGCAGCTTCAGTTCCAATGCCTCTACTTACAACTAATTATACTGTTGAGTCATTTAGATTTAAAAACAAAACAGCTTCCAGACCTCAGATCTAGAAATATCTGACAGAAAGTAAGCACTGCTTGCATTTATTTATTATTATTTGGGCAAACTTCTTACTTAAAGTATACACTATGGTAAGAAAATTATCCCAACTCTCAGGTATATTCTACCACATCACATGGCAGCCATCCTAGTACTTAGACCATCTCAGCATTGTTAAATGTCTAACAAAGAGATCTTCTTTATTCATGATTATAATCTTGTGGTCTATTCATAAAAAAGGATCTTGGTGTTCTGGTTGATCAGTCTCTTAAATCATTAAAACAGTATGTTGTTGCTAGTGGTAAGACAAATAGTAGTTTAGGTTGTATCTATGGAAATAGTACTCTAAAGAGGAGTAATTTGATTGAATAAATCATCACTGGTTATGCCACATTTGGAGTATCATGTTCAGTCTTGAACACTTTACCTTAGGAAGGACACTGAAATGCTGGAAAGGGTTCAGAGGAGTGCTACTATAGGATGATACCAGTGATTAAAAAGTTGCCAAATGAAGATCTGTTTAAAATCTCTGAAATTGTTTATTCTTGAAAAAAAAAGTTAGAAGAAGCTTGGCTGGTGTTTTTAAGACTGTTAAAGGAATCGATAATGTTGGTAAATTATCTTTTTTTTTCATATTTAATGGTGAGATTGGTAGGACTATAGGACACAAATATAACATTTGGCAGAGCAGAAGAAAATTTTCAGTTATGACAGTTTTATTTTTCTAACAGGGTAGTTTGACCTTTGGAATGGGTTGCCTTAAGATGTGGTGGATGCAGTAAACTTAATGGAGTTTAAGAGAAGACTTGATAAAAATTGGGTTTTTTGCTCTTTTTTAAAGTGTAGCTTAATAGATAGGTCAGACTTGATGGAACAACAGGTCCATTGTTGTCCTTAAGTATTATATGTTGAACTCTTTAAGTGGAAGCAACTACTGCCTATTCTGTCAGTTCAACATTATTTATATACTTTAAATTCAAAATTAAACTTGATGAAAAGTTAAAATAGTAGCTCATCAAGAAATTAATGTCACTTATTTTTAGATGAAAAAACCTGAACAACTTATATATCAAAACAACATTATTTATGTACTTTAAATTCAAAATTAAACTTGATGAAAAGTTAAAATAGTAGCTCGTCAAGAAATTAATGTCACTTATTTTTAGATGAAAAAAACTGAACAATTTATATATCAAAACAAAACATTTATTAAATGAAATAGTCTCCATTCTTATCAATGATGCTTTTCCATCTTATAATCAGGTTGTTAATGCTCTGAGTTAAGAAATCACTTGGCTTTGAAGTAAAAAACATGTTGATGTCCTCTTTAACACCTTCCACATTTGCATACGTTTTCCTGTTAGGCTGGTGTTGCAGCATATGAAAAAGATGGTAATGTGATGGTAGCATATATGGAGAATATGGTGGGTAGGGAAGAACTTCCCAACCCAACTCCATAATCTTGTGTTGCGTCAAACGTGCCACATGTGGACGTGCATTATCGTGGAGAAGAAGAACACCTTTCCAATTGACGAGTGAATGTTCCAGTTGCTGACTATAGATCTCTGCATTGACAGTTCGCTATGGGATGTTGATGTCCCACCAAATGCAAAACATCACTTTCTGCGGATGGAATCCAGGTTTTGGGGTCGGAAGTGGTTTTTGTCTAGGACTGAGCCATTGTTTTTGGCATTTAATATTCACATAGAGAATCCATTTTTCATCAGCAGTGACAATTCTGACCAAAAATGGTTCACTCACATTACACGCCAGAAGAGACAAAGCAACATTCACACATTAGAAATGATGATCATTGGAGAGTTTGTGAGGCACCCAAACACCTTCTTTATGGAGTTTTCCCATATTCCTTAGATGTTTATGTACTGTTTCATGAGAGACATGCAATTTCAGGGCCATTTCATGAGTGTGTTGCCTTTGGTTAGACTCAACAAGTGTCTTTAGAGCATCAGTATCAATTCCAACATGTCGGCCCCTATTATTAAGTCTAAAGTCACCTGAACATAATTTGCTGAACCATCATTGACACTTACGAACATTCAAAACATTTCCATAAGCTTCTTTGATATTCTTTGTAGGTTTTGCATTGTTTCCCTTCTTGTAATCAAACAGCATTACATGCCGAATGTGTGTCTTGTCGTGTGCCATCACTATAAGGGATTAGAATATACTAAACTTTACATAATATATAGACTGTCACTAACGTGACATTTAGGCGGTTTGTTTAAATATTATACGTGATGTACGTTTTTTGGGGGGTGGTTAATGAAAGTGTTCCAAAACGTGACATTAGTTTCTTGATGACCTAATAAACATTTGAATTAAATCCCCTCCCTCATTTTTTGTGTTTTTGGAAAACTGTGATAGTTTCCATCCAGTTTTAATTTATGCATTGCCTAGTGTATTCCATTTAATAATGATGAAAAATCCTTTGTTTCAGGAATTGAGGAGGTTAGTAATTTGGCCAATAAAAGTAATATGGACATCAAATAATTTTATAGATATATGATTGAAATGATTTTAATTAGTTTATAAGTCTATGTCAAAATAAATTTTCCTATATTTTTATTTGTATACATTCTCTTTACTCGTGCACAATAAGACATGTAGAATATCTTCCTTCTTAAATGTATCTATGTCTTTTATTCAAGCATATCATCCACAGACTCATATACAAAAAAACTTTTTACTCACATCAACAGATGTGGAAAATCCCCCAGAATCTTCTGTTGCTGTTACCACTAAAGAGTATTTTTTAGGCTGGCGAAGATCTTCATAATCAAGGTCCTTGGCCAATTTGACAATGCCAACACTGGGGTCAATATTAAAAGTGCCTTCTCCTGACCCTTTGGCTCGTAAAGTGTATCGAATCTGCCGGTCAGCAAATGACTTGGCCTTTACCTCAATAACGCTGCAATAAAATCAACAATGTTCTGAATTTATCTTTTAAAATTTAATTACATGTTATACATTTCCTTGTAATGGTTCAATGGAAAAATTTAAATTTGGATTTGATTCCTAGCTAGATCAGGTTGTTAAATACCAGACATGTCAACTTAAGAAATTCAAACCCTTCTCTTTTTTTTTTCACACTTTCCTAGAAAAATCCTTTTGATAACAGCCTCAACATTAAGCATATAATACTTCAGAAAGAACATAAGTTCATAATTTTTGTGTTCAGAATATCTAAAGAAACTCCCAGACAAAGACATATTTTTAATCAGTGAGATGTTCTACTGCTTACTTTTAACATTCGTTATTAACAGCTAAAAGCTTAACCAACAATTGAAGACCCTTCACTGAAATACAAATAAATACCCCACAGGCAATAATGACACGTGATTAATATTTTTATCATTCAATAAAAAATCTTCACTTACTACTTGCTAGAAAAGCTTTGTAGATAAGTCACACATCCAAACATAGAAATGAATTTAATTAGCAATAATTCAACTGGATTTCTTACTCTGAATCTTTTTTTTGGCTCTCTGGAATAGTAGTCTCATATTTTTCCATGTAAAACTGAGGCGCACGTTTCCCTCCCATCACTGACAGTCTCATCTCCGAGGTGGATTGGTATTTATACTGGCTGACCTTTCCATTTCGATCTTCTGCCTTAACATACAATACATATTCTTTGTCCAGCATGAATGGTTCTTTTCCTCGAGTTCTCAGTTCACCAGATCTCTCGTCTACTTCAAATCTGCCACCAGCTGAGAAATGTTAACATAGAAGATGAACATACATGAAGCATATATCCTACTTAAATACTGCAATATATTGTATAATATTACCCACTAGATTTTTATTTTTACCTTAGAATGTGCTTTAATTACCGAGTAATACATTTATATTAATATGTATGATAATTTTTGTATTCACGTTAACCTCTGTTGCACTGCTTGGAAATGTGTGTTTTAATAAAATTATGTCAGCAATAATACGAAAATATATTTTTGGGCTTTTATTCTAATCAAACAATTTTATAATTTAAATAATAAAGATGATTAGATACAGCTTAAATAGTCTTAAATAACTAAATATGTGTGTCATAAAAAAAGCTATTAATGAACATTAAATAAAAAAATCTAGAAGGTTTCTGACCTTAGTTTATCAAACAGATTTCCTTTAACTGAAAATAAACCTACTTATTAAGCCTAAAAATTGCATGTACAGTTCCACTCATTTGTTATAACATTTAAATTATTGGCTGTTTATCATAAGTATTCAAAGAACCTAATTTAAATGTAGAGATACAAAACATTTCTTTACACCACTTAACTGCATCATAAATAAGTTAAGGTACTCTTTATTAGCATTCTAATAAGCATATACTAACAAGTAACTGAATAAATATGGTAAAATATTTTTATCATAAGTATGAAAATTACTACATTCTAATTCTATTTTAATTTCTCTTTACAATGAATTTGCTTAATCACTCACTATTTCTAATGAAGTGTAACAATGTAAGTTGAGCTACTCTTTACCAATTAATAATAAGATTGACTGTCATGTTATAATGCCCCAGACAACTGAAAGGGCAAACATATTAGTGATGAGATTTGAACCCATGACCCACAGATTGTGATTCAAGTGCCTTAACTACCACGCTATGCCAAGTCAACATCACAGGTTAGAAGCATCACAAATCTTGGACCTATATACTCTGACACTCATGCATTACACAAGATATAAAATCAGGATTTGACAAATCAGCTGCTCTCACTGTATCTAAACATTTTCTACAAATATAATCATTGATTAAAATGCACCACTGTTTCACCACAACCTAAGTTTGATTTAAGTTGAAAATATATATGTGTACATAATTAAAGGCTCTTATTTCTATCATGTACCATGTAGTTGAGTTTCCTAAGTGTAATATTTAGTAGTTAACTTAATAAAACAGATTTCTGAGAACAGATAACACAGTAAAACAGCATGTTATAAGTATAGTGGACTAAAAGGAAAATATTAAATTTGGTGATAGAATTGTACATTCCTCACAGCACTTCTTTAGAATGTAAAAATGTTCCCACACTACTTGGCAACACACTGAAAGTCAATGAAGGAACTTTCAAACTTATCATGTATACTAGGTAAACAAAACTTATCATGAGTTTATGACAAAAAGGCAAAAAACAGCTGAATTTATTAAATTCCTGTATTTCACATAAGAATATCTATTGAAGAAATTAGATATATTTTTTGGAGGGAAAATTGAAAGGAAACTTTGAATAATAACTTTTACTCCCAATTTTAAAATAACTAACAACTCGAGTTTCTCAAATGTATTATCACAGTTGTGCTAGAATTTACCAAGTTGTCAAAATGATGGAATAAAATGGTTAACTTACAATTGCATATAACATTCATGTGTTTTGTAGCTTTTCCTCTGAAACTTTCTTTACTTCATACAAAACAATTTTGATAAGAAAAATATAAATACTGTCTTACTCCTGTCACGAACTAAAACATAGTGGATGTTGTGATCAGTGTCAGGGTCTCGAGCCTGAAGCTTAAAGACAGGTGTTCCAGGTGCAGCATTGAGCTGGACCACAGCTTGCATTGGTAATGGACGATTAATGAAATAGGGTGGTTCATCATTAATGTCACGAATATGAATAATAATCCTCTGTCTATCAGGCTCTGTAAAAACAAGAAATAAATGGATTCATATAGTTAAACAAACAAGAGACAAAATTAGAAAAAAATTAATCAAATCTAGAAGATATGTGGAGAAGCATAGTGACAGTAACTCTCATATCAATAACCAAATATTCTTCCAAATAGATGATTACCATGGAAAAACGTATATTTATCACATAAACTGCTATAAGTGTAGCTGTTCTGGGATATCATTAGCATTAAACTACTGATATTATGTAATGAAACTTTATTTCATAAAGATTTTTGTACATGTCAATTTTTTCTATCAAGAGCAAGAACAGTTTGTGTTCTTCCAATTGTAGTTTAAATACTTTATAAGAAAAGTGAAAATGCTTTATTTAACTTTTAAATCATTATGAACATCTTTAGTAAAGTGACCAATACATATGAAATTATTTTAATGTAATCCATGATATGCAGAAATTTGGATATGTGTTAAACTGACTTTGATGATGGTGAAAATCAACTGTTGGAGCTTAATAATGCATGTGTGATTACATTATAGAATGGGGCTGACTGAATTATGAAGTTGAAATAGTACAAAAGACCAAATTTCAGCTTGAATAATGTTATATATATATATATATATATATAGTGAGGAAAAAGAGTTTGTAATACTCAGTACAGTTTGTTATACACATTGATTACGACAAAGTTTCACTATCACAATTCTGTTAAAATAGTATCCAAAACCCTGCCAGCAATAGTACCAACTATCTACTAAAAAAACGCAAATTACAGCAGGAAGATGTAAAACAGTCTTAACATATACACTGTAGCCCTGACTCTGGACTTCATACTATAAGAACAGTAGTTGCTAACTGTGCTTCATACATATTATTCTATGAATAATGACCATGCAACAGTTTTGATTCAAGCATGTTAAAATTGTTCCATCAAAAACAAACGTTTTTGCGCTTTTGAAATAGGATTTAATTTCAAGTAATTATAGTTTATTATTAATACTTTACAGTCATTAAACAAGTATGTATAATTAATTTCTCAAAAATTTAACTGTTTTGTGTTTTAATTAATCCCCTATTTTCCAACATGCTATATATTTTCATATACTTTTATAGAAGTTTATATTTTGTAGGCTTTGCTTAGAGTTGCACACAGAATCTCGTGTAAAAACAACAACAACAAAAAAAAATGTTCAAAGTTCTATCTGACTATAAATCTATAAATTACTTGGTGCATTTACTTTGTTGGTAGGTTAAATCTTTCCTGCTAGTCTTTACTAACTTAGGCCTATAGTTATTAATGTTTTTCAAGGTTATATCTTTAAAAGTGAAAAACTAAATAAAATCAATTTCAAAAAGTTTTTAAAAACTTACGACACTTTGTTTTCTTAAAACTTCGCGTTATTACAAAGTTAAATTTATCGTAAGCTAAGTATTAATATAGATGAATTGAACATTCAAATTTCAATGTACACACATAACATCACTATTTTAAATTCATTTTCTTACAAATTTAAGCTGTACTGTTTTTGCGGAGAACTATAGGCTATGTCATTTAGAACTTCCGGACCCATGTGCATTTCAATAACTATTGAACAATCTACTTTTACTCTTTAAAAAATGTATTTAAAATTCTAAATACGCATCAATCTATTCATACGTCTTAAGACCATACGACATCGATTCACCAATATTTTCACTGGAGAACCATTCATAGACTTTTCTCTTCCTCCGCTATTCTTTCTTCAAAAATAATAACAATATAATATTTAGGGACAACAAGGGACCTGTTGGACCATCTAGGCTGTCCCATCCTCTAAACTATTATAAATTTATAAAAAAAACAATCTTAAAGCCAGCCCTTATCATTAACATAGTGAAACGTTTAATGAGTCTTCAGCATAACTGAAAAATTAATTATGATTTAACAATTATATAAACCAATATTTAGTAATTTAAATATGTGTTTCCATGAAGCCTAAGTTTTCTAAGTTTATTTTACTATTTTATTTGATATAACCCAACGATAAAACGCGTAATGTTTTACACTGCCTTTTGGAGAAAACAGCATCTGTCATCAAGAGTTGAATATGGTAAATATTGTCATAATTGTAAAACATTATTTTTCTTCTTTTCACACTTGCTACTTAAATCAATAAATGATTAAGACTTTTATATATATACGTACTTCCGCATGTCCTCCGAAAGTGTTCTGCTCCAAGAGTAAATTAAACGAAAATTAAGAGTAACAAATATTTTTATTTCTTACTTTGAAGTTCATATGTCGTGTTGTGTTGTAGCCTACAGAATGCATATTTGTTCTCGTGATTCATGGCACGCGTAGGTTTTTCTGACATCACGACAGTACAAATTGCAGCGTTAAGCGTCCTTTATGTGACGTCATTTTAGAGTCTACTGACTGACATCACACTATTGTATAATGGTGGAGTGGTTAAAAAAGTTGACCACTCCAGGCAGGCTTCGGCCTCCTTTCGTGGAAATTATTCTATCTTTATATATGTTGACTTGTCATACTAAGACGATAATAAATGGAAATCTTAAATCATAATTGGAAGACACATTCTCAAGTAGGAAAACAAAACAAAACGTTATCATAAAATTTTAATGTGCTTAATTGTTGAAGTCAACTTTCCTCTAATTCATACAAAGGTGCCATGAAATTGTTCTGGGCAGCTACAACATACTTAGTTCTCCTGTAGTTATAATTAATTAAAAAGCAAAATATTTTCAAGTTTTAGGGTTAACACCTGGTAATGTATTGTAAACCATGTGGTAAATTTATTTCTCGGTATTACTCTCCACCCATCAAAGTAGATTTACTATCTCATGAGATCGGTGGTGATATTCAGTCAGTACGAAAAAAAGAAAGTAAGAAAGAAAAGAAAATATGTAGGCAACTGATTTTTGAAGCAGTACTGATTACCAGTATGACAGTTTTATATACCAGTTTTAGAAATAATGAGTTTAATGTTATCGCACAATCTTTACAATAATTACTATTCAGTTAGGTTGTACAGCAGCTATAAAAATGACGAAGTGGCGTGCATGTGCTTATTCACTTACATTACAAATATACTGAGTACTAGCATAAAATTTTCTTGAAATTCATCTATGCATGAGAGGCCAATATTATCATGGTGTGAGAATACTTAATAACTATCAATTGGGGTAGACATACAGCCAAAATCTTGGTTTTGTTTGTTATTGATCAGGCAACAGAGAGAAAGAATATGAATTGTGAGAACAATTGTGTTACTTTCAAAAGGAATCATTTCAGCTATCATGGGCTTATAACGCTAATCAGGTTTTCTTATTCGCAATGGGCAGAGTAAATATAGCCCATTGTGTAGCTTTATGCTTAATAGCAGAGCAAACATCTCAGCTATGAAACTCGGAGTCAAAATCGACCTGAGCTGTGCCGTATTTCTTGTTTATACCCTTTGCTGTATTTACCGTCTGTGTTGGCATACTTTCATTTCATTTCAAGTTTCGCAAGTTATTTAGTTTCAGTTCGCAGCCAGTTTTATTAAAATTCCGTGTTCGTAAGTCCAGACTTTACTGTGTTTTTATCCAGCCATTTACTTCGATTTCATCGCGTCTGTTATTGTGAATATAATGTGTTGTGTTTTGAACAAGTTAATCTAGTCTTCTTTCATTTTGTTGGAACTAGTCGATATCATTTCTTTTTACCAATCAATCCTTCGAATCTCTCGTTGGTGCAGTGATCAAGTATCTTATTCTAAGTCCTTGAATGTACTACAGTGCAATGTAAAAGAAATTTTCGAAATATCAATGTTGAGTGAATGTATATAATGATTAGTTTAAGAAACATACAAGTATTAGATTTATTAACTGACGCAATATCAAAGATATTGCTACATCTTTCATTGATTCCTTTACCCAAAGTAATATTTCACGGATCTCTTTTTATTGAAATTTTAGAAAGTAATCAAGCAATATTATATAAACATCATTGTATTAAATTCAAAGGAAATATCCTTTTTACCTTTACGTAGTATGTATTTATTCTTTTTAATTAAAAATAACATAGCTTCGTTGCAGTCGGTTGATTTTCAAACTGCCATTAAACCCGCCCCTAGGTTTCACCTGATTGGAAATACATCTTTTGATTCAAGTTACATAGCATGACTACTTCCCCCCTACAAAATCAACAACAACAACGAAAAAAAAAAAAAACACTTTCATGTCAGTGGGAGTCATAACGTAGAGTTTGTTTGTTTTTGAATTTCGCGCATAGCTACACGAGGGCTATCTGCGCTAGCCGTCCCTAATTTAGCAGGGTAAGACTAGAGGGAAGGCAACTAGTCATCACCACCCACCGCCAACTCTTGGGCTATTCTTTTACCAAGGAATAGTGGGATTGACCGTCACATTATAACGCCCCCACGGCTAAAAGGGCGAGCATGTTTGGTGGGACTGGGATTCGAACCCGCGACCTAACCACCTGGCCATGCCGGACCCATAACGTAGAGAAAATTTAGAAATCTTATAAGACTAAATTCTGATATCTCAGGTAGGGGGCTGCTCGGAGGCAGAGTTCTCCAGTAGAGGTTTGCCCCTATGCCATCCCTATGGACATGTCCCTGCTTCACTGTATATATGTTTAAAGGAATTTCCACAAAATTTCAATGATTATTAAAAAATGTTAATTTATTTATTTGATATTATTTATCATAGTAAATTTATTAATTATTTTCCTTCCTTATGACTGGTAAATAAAACATTTTTGGTTGGCCCCTCAGTGGCACAACGGTATGTCTGCGGACTTACAACGCTAGAAACCGGGTTTCGATACCCGTGGCGGGCAGAGCATAGATAACCCATTGTATAGCTTTGTGCTTAACTTCAACCTCTTGGTTGATCACCTGTTAGTGAAAGTATAAAGGCAAAATAAACAGATCTCTTGGCTGATCACCTGTTGTTGAAAGTTTAAAGGCAAAATAAACAGATCT